GTATGTATGTATGTATATGTAGCCGGGTCTTTGGAAAGACTGGACTGAACACAAAATAATTTTTATGTGGGCTTTATTCCCGACTGAACAATAAAAATTTGTACAGCATCAAGATGAAAGACTGAGATTTTAACTGAATTTTAAGAGTTCGAAAAAAGGATCTAAGAGATCAAAGAAAATTTTCTAACAGATTAAAGACAATTACACCATAATAAACCACAGCAGTGGCTTGCTTGATCGGGAAAGAGAAATAAAAATACATTATTTCCAAGCCACAACATTCCATGAAACTTAAAAGTGCAGACCGACTAATCGAGCTTTATATTCAGTTCAGTGACTGTCTTCCTTCACATACATGTCATCCTCCCCTCACTTCCTGGTCTAATTCTCGCTCACGCTGTATGTTCCCGCATGTTTTTATCAAGCGTGCGCTAAAAGTGACAATGCAACATTTGTTCAACAAGGCAACCTTCACTCCAAAAGTCTAAGTATGGTTCACCTGGTTAGAGAGAGAGAGAGAGAGAGAGAGAGAGAGAGAGAGAGAGAGCGAGAGAGAGAGAGAGAGAGAGAGAGAGAGAGAGAGAGAGAGAGATGTTTTTGTGTCTGCCATTAATGATCATGTTTGTTTTCCCTCAGCTTTAGTGGATATCACGTCCACCCTCTTGCTGCTTAATCCTGATGTCACGACTGCATGGAATGTCAGGTACAGACACAAACCCTCGATGGCAGCTGCCATCTTCATTGCTTCATTGTCTCTCGATAAAACAGCACACAACATTCATGTGATTGCGTCATTGTCACTAGAGATGCACTAAAAATCGAAAATGAGGAAGCCAAGGCTGAAACTGAAACAGCAAAATAAATTATTATACTTTAAAAAAATCTCTGCTAAATCATTTTCTTCACTTTGCCAAATTTGAAAGTGCAAACTCTCAGGTTCCATCCAAGGGAATGTGCACGTTTTCACAGCCACAGTTGAGGCAGTCCTTGGTGACCGGGCAACTTTCTCACCCCGGGCCAATGTCTGACAGCAGTGGGGATTTTTGGCTCATCTACCCGCCACCCACCTCCATTCAGTTTCAGCATGCCTTCAGCGCCACTGCTGGACCTAGTCTTACTCCGAGCTTCAAGGCCGTACCCCGTGTCATCACCACCATCATGGCCAGTTAGCAAGTGTTCTTGGAATGCTAAACAGTGCAAAACCTTGGTCTGCTTGCTTGGTTCTTCCCCTCAGTCTAATCTTTCCCAAGCAGTGCCCCACGATGTCTCTGTTGCCACGGCCTGCCAGCTGCTGGTGCCCTCCTCGCATCCTGTTTTGGCCATGATGTCCTGGTGATGAACATCTTTTGACCGAAAACCCAAAATGTGCTTTTGACCATTGACAGGCCACAATCGTTGATGCAAGGCAAAATAAAAGTAAAAATACAGTACAACCTCAGTTGACAAATTTAATTCAGTCTAACACTCTCTTTGCAAAAGATACTTGTCCGATTTCCCATTCAAATGCAAGAAAATATAATGAATTCAGTCCAGATCAGAACCAAGTCAACTTCATACACGGCCGATGGCTTTGTGAAAAGATGTTCCCCTGTCATGTCAAAGGTTTTGAGTATTTATGCAGACCTTCATTTTCTCATTTCTTTTTTCTCTTCTTTTTTTTTTTTTTTTTTGATCTATCCACCTGATTATTATGCTTTATGAGCCTTGGAGTGAATTCTGTGCATGACTTGCGTTTTGAACCAAAACCGGCTTTTTATTTACATCGAAATTGTTTGCGGAGTCCACTTCCTTTGACAGTTACAGAATTTAACAATGTGGGAACTTCAGTTGTTGTATCTTTAAAGAGTAAACAGTTCAATCCCGCTTCCTGCTAATGTCTGGGGTAGGAGGATGAAAAAAAAAAAGAGGCCAGCGACAACTTACAGTTTCATGTTTAACTACTTCCAAACTCTGTTGCTTTAGACATGAGGCCATGATCTATTTTCAAACATCTGAGGCGTACAGGTATATACAGTATACCTATACAGTAATAAAGTTGGTCTTGTTTTGTTGAGAGGTTGGAAACAGTTAGCTTAAAGCAGACGTTGGAGCCAGCCAAACCCACTATTTCCTACTGCATGGTGGTGGCAGCCTTACACCGAATGTAAACGGGTCATTTAGCCTGAAATCACCCTGACAAAAAAAATGAACATTTTAACCCGACCAGAATTGGATGAAACATCCCACATTTTACGGACACTGCCCCAGTGGTTTGGGAGATATGGCCCACTGAATTTTTCAGATTTTGTCAAAAAGGGTTGTGGAGGCAAACCTTCAAACCCCAATATCTTGGAGTTTACTGGGCCAATTTGTTAAAGAGATGTATTGTTGGGAAGGGATTTTAACATAATTCTAAAGAGAGCATTCTCTTTAGGGTTGGGGAATGTAGAAGTCACGAGACCTTTTGACCTCAATTGTTGTTTTCTAGACCTCTTGATCTCATCATTGTCATTTTTTCTCTCTCGTCCCTCGTTTGTAAGTCTTGTTATTAATTTGTCTTTGACATTACTCTTGTTTAGTTTCGTTGACTCTTGACATTTCGTTTATATTTTTGGCTTTACTATTGCCTTGCCTTTGAATCATCAAATTAAATCGCCGACCTGTTAGCAAAAACATTTTTTCCAGGGCTAGTTTCCGTGGAAAACTGGTGTCAAAAAAGGCTCTACCAAGTCATTGTTGTTGTACTGCATTTCCTTCTACATTTCCAAATGAAGTGATTCCCAACCAGTGTGCCATGGCACATCAGTGTGCTATGAGAGATCATCAGCTGTGCCACGTAGAAATGTAAATTATTTAGATCTAAAATTATGCATTTTTCTGTCAAAAAAAATCTTCATCACTTTGTACCTCTGGTGACCTCTTTGAGGGGCCGAAACAGGTGGAAAATGGAAGCAGCAAGGTTTGGCCGATAATGGGGATGAGAGAGCAGTTAATGCTCTGCACTGTGTTGGCTGCTGCATTTTGGGAACCCAGCGACAGATGACCTTGGAGTAAGCAAGCTCTTAATTGATTATTAGGGCCCGAGCAGAGACTGGTCAAAATGGCAAACTTCCTTGTAGGGTTAGGATATGACTCCAAGAGAGTTTTTGGCCTGTTACATGAGCAGAGATGAAAGTGGACTTTCCTGAAAATTCCGGGGAAAAAAAAGTATATATACTGTGTGTGTGTGTGTGTGTGTGTGTGTGTGTGTGTGTGTGTGTATATATAAAACGCTGTTTTTTTTTTTTTTTTTTTCGAGGCCGTGAATAGTTTTGGCCACGAGAGACCGTGGTTCGCAAAAAACAGAGGCGGCGTCATCACAACACGTACTGTACTAAACTCTCGCAATGACAATTCAAAAAACTCCTTCATATTTTCCAAGAGTGAGTTTCTTTTCGTCCTTCTACTTTATTTATTTCTTCTTCCCATTTTGTTTTGCAAGGTTTTGTACCCCAAACCTACGGGGGGAGAGGGGCAGCTTCATTTCTGCTCATCTCCTTTATTTGCTTTTATCTTTTTACGTATCCTGTGAACAGGGATCCCGATAGCACACGCAACCCCATTGTTTACAGTAGGGACCAGCTGTTAGCATGGCAGGCTAACAGCGGGCTACTGGCCGGTGACAAACCTGACATTCCCCGTAAGTTGAAGAGGAGGAAACGTGGGTGTCGGGCCAGGAGGTCTGAGTCCAAGACCAAGACCAAATGACATCAAGAGTAAACGTTAAGACAGAAAAATACTATTTTTATAACCACAAAATTATAGAAATGTCATTCTGTTCAAAAATCTTCCTGGCGGCGCTAACGCAACATCAAAGGGAGTACCGCGAGGCTAGCCTAATGCTACTCACGGAGTCGTGGCTAACAGCGATCACTCCGGACACACATGCCGAGTTGGAAGGCTTCCAACTCATACGTGCGGACAGGAATGAAGGGAGTGGAAAGAGGAAAGGAGGGGGACTGACTGTTTTTGTGAACGACAAATGGTGCAATCCGGGGCATATCACGATCAAAGAGAAACTCTGCAGCCGGGACATTGAGCTGCTAGCCATTAGCCTCAGGCCCCATTATCTCCCGAGGGAATTCTCACACGTCATAGCTGTGACAGTGTACGTCCCCCCGTCGGCTAATGGTGATGCAGTGTGTGATGCCCTGATGACTGTCGTGAACAGGCTGCAAACACAGTCCCCCAACGCCCTGCTGATCATCTCTGAGGACTTCAACCATGTCTCTCTGTCGTCCTCCCTTTCGACCTTCACGCAATATGTAACCTGTGCCACGAGAGACAATAAAATTCTGGACTTGTTTTATGCCAATGCCAAGGAGGCATATAAACCCCTCCCCCTCCCTCCTCTTGGAAGAGCAGACCACAACTTAGTATTTCTCGAGCCTGTGTACAAACCCCTGGTACACAGGCAGCCAACTGTGAGCCGAATGGTCAGGAAATGGTCCACGGAAGCTGAAGATGCTCTGCGGGACTGCTTCGACACAACCAGGTGGGAAGTCTTCAGCGAGGTTCATGGGGAGGACATTGATGCACTCACTGACACCACCACGGACTACATAAACTTCTGTGAGGAGAACACCGTACCCACCAGAACTGTGCGGTGTTTTTCCAGCTGTGCGTGTTTTTTCCAGTAACAAACCATGGATTAATCCCGACATAAAGGCCCTCCTGAAGGAGAAGAAGAGGGCTTTTATGTCAAGAAACAGAGGAGCTGAAGGCCGTGCAGATTCGGCTGAGAAGAAAGATCAGAGAGGGGAAGAAGACATACAGGATGAAGTTGGAGGACGAGTTACAGGCCAGCAATGTCACTGGTGTCTGGAGGGGTCTGAAAACCATCTCAGGCCTCAACAGCCCAAAGACATGGACTGAGAAGAACAAGGACTGGGCAGATGAACTGAACCGTTTTTTCAACTGTTTCGACCAGACGTCTGTCCCTTCCCCCAACCACCAGCTGCACCCACTCTCACTGAGGACTTCTTCTCCTCCGCCTCCTCTTTCAACCAGCTCTCAACAACCCTGTCTGTCACCTGGTTCCTGCCTGTCCGTTACAACAGAGCAGGTGAGGAACCAACTGAGGAGGATGAATGTGAGGAAGGCGGCAGGTCCAGACAAGATCAGTTCCCGGCTCCTCAGGACCTGCTCTGACCAGCTGTGTGACATTGTCCAGCATTTGTTCAACCTGAGCCTGAAGCTGGGCAGAGCTCCACAACTGTGGAAAACTTCGTGCCTGGTTCCAGTGCCCAAGAACCCCCACCCTAAG